CCGCCCACCCCCACCCCCACCCCCACCCCACCGCCGCCGCAGCAGCCGTCCGCCCCCCGCGTCCGCCGCAGAGCCGCCGATCCCCTCCCGAGAGCCCCCGCCCCGTCGGCTCGTGGATCTCGGCTGCCGCCGTCGCCGGTGCTGGTGGGGATTTCGGGTCCCGTGTTTATTGCTCCGATTCGGGCCCTGATTCTCCCCGGATTGCGTTTCCTTTGATGGGGCCGCCGCCGCCGCTCCGGCTCGGGGTGTGATTCTGATTCTGATTCGGGCGGAAGGTAGAGATTGTCGTCTTTTTATTGAGCCCCCCCTGCCTGCCCTGGTTTCTCTGCCGCTATTGGATTGATTTGCGATCCGCGATCGAGATTGCTCCGTGAAGTTTTTGGTCCTAGGGATATTTTTTGACTGGCCCGGATCAGGAATAGAGGGTTCTCTTGCTGGGGGGAGGGAGATCTAGGGTTGCGTCTTCTATAGTTCTCTTTGTGCATGTGCATACTCCATAGAAAAAAACACCAAAAAAAGGAGGGGGTGAGGAGGAGTTGGAGGAGCAGGAGGAGGAGGATTGGAGCGCAGGGGAGTTTGGAGGTTATTATGGCGCTGAATTATCCGTCGTGCTCATTCTTGGTGAGCGACGAGTGCTCTGCCCTGATGCGAGGGTGTGGATGCTGGTCGGAGGAGGCCTCGCCCCTCTCGTCCCCAGGGGTCAACTCCAGGCGCTGGGATGATTTCGAGCCCGATCCTGCGGATCTATTGCCCGTGGATCCCTTCGGGATGAACTTGGGGAACACCATCACTGCAGCCATCGCCAGTTGCCTCGACCGCACGGTCATGTCTGGTGCAGGGCGTTTTGGAAGCAGTGACGGTGGCGCGGCCGACTTGAGTTTTTACCTGAATCATGCTATTGCCGTCTCCCGGGGGCCATCTTGCCTCCCGGGTGGCTTTGGGCGTGCTTTTGAGGGGCCCTTTGTGTTTGGAGGCCTTTATGAGGCCGGAGGCGCCAACTGCTCTCAAGGGTTGCCTCCCCTTGTGTCCTGCTCAGGCTCAATTGTACCTGGAGAGGATCCATCTACTTCTGGCAGTGCTGCATTGTTGTGCCGTGAAGGAGTTGATGCCGTGGGAGCGTCCTGCTCACGCCCAATTGTACCTGGAGAGGATCCATCTACTTCTGGCAGTGCTGCATTGTTGTGCTGTGAAGGAGTTGAAGCCGTGGGAGCGTCCTGCTCACGCCCAATTGTACCTGGAGAGGATCCATCTACTTCTGGCAGTGCTGCATTGTTGTGCCGTGAAGGAGTTGATGCCGTGGCAGCGTCCTGCTCACGCCCAATTGTACCTGGAGAGGATCCATCTACTTCTGGCAGTGCTGCATTGGTGTGCTGTGATGGAGTTGATGCCGTGGGAGCGTCATGCTCACGGCCAATTGTACCCGGAGAGGATCCATCTCCTTCTGGCAGTGCTGCATTGGTGTGCTGTGATGGAGTTGATGATGTGGGAAGTGCACCACATGACGGGATGATGTATGCTCTTGCCTATCTTGGGCTTCGTGACATCCTAGCTACAGAGATGGTGTGCAAGTCTTTGCATTCATGGATCCGCAGCGAGTTATTGTGGAAGTGTATCCACATTGAACCGGTATTGAGCGGGAAGATCTCTGATCCTGATCTTCTATTTCTGACACAGAAGATTCCAGGTGATTTGCAGTGTCTAAATATAAATGACTGCATAAATATCACCGACAATGGTTTGAATGCTGTTCTCCAAAGCAATCCGACGTTAACAAAGGTTAGTATGGTCACAATACTTTTTGCAAGTATTTCTAAGAATAATTCAGTTCCTCGAAGGCCTGGGATCATATTTGGCAACAAATTAATCTGTATATGTTCATAATTGCACCAATGTATTTCCTATCTTAGCATACTTTGATAGAAAAAAATAGAATATGCACACAAATTCGAGCTAAATATGACTGACTTAGGTGGTGGTGGTGTACGGACACAACTCCCTCCGATGGAGCTAGGGCCAGTACCTTAGGATACTTTGGGTAGTCGAATGTAGATGTTATATGGGGCATACCATGTTTTTCTTGCTCTTGCTATCTGGGTAGTATTTTCTGCGATGAATATTCACCAAGGTTTTTAAATATGATTTCTCTAGTTATTTTCTGTGATGAATATTCACTATGGCTTTTTTAATACGATTTCTCTAGTAGTTTACATTTAGCACCTACAAAGCTAAGTTAGGTTTCATTTTTTTAGCTAATGCTATTCACTTATCTGTAAATCTGCTAGATCGTTGTCTAGAGGGCAAACTAGTTAAAAAATCAGTATATGTTTTTTACTTTCTCACAATAGTTTAAAGTTGAAACAGCATGATGAAAAACTTGTCCTATCAATTTTAGGGGGGACTCTTGTTATGCTGCATATGCTTTTTGTCATACGTTTTTAATTCAACAGAAATATTTTTGTTTTGTGATTGATTCTAACCTGCTCCTTCTTGTTACAACAGTTGAGTATTGCGCGCTGCCCGCGGTTAACTTTGGATGGCCTTATTGCCAATCTAAAGTCATTTAATATGAAAGCAGTGTCGGGTATTAAGAGCCTCAGAATTGACAAAAACTTCAATTTACCAGAAGAGGATTATGAGGAGTTATTATCCTTGTTGAGCATCGACAAGAGACAGGAGTTGCACAACCGGGCTCCGCGATTCCGTCATTCTAATCATTTTTTATTAGATTGCAATGACGGATATGCTCTTGATATTGAGATGTGCCCCATCTGTCAAAGTTACAAACTTGTTTTTGACTGCCCTGAAGTGGAGTGCAGTGACAAGAGATCTGGCAAGTGCCGAGCATGTGAGGTTTGCATCAAGAGATGCCGGCAGTGTGGAAGGTGCTTAGAACGAAATGAGAAGTTTGAAGAGAAATTTGATCTGGTCTACCTTTGCTACAAGTGTCGAGGCGATCCGGCTTCACCATCTCTCGGTGTGGAAAAGGATCTGGTCTCTATTTTATCCAGTGGAAGAATAGCTTCTCCTTGACCATGGAGGAGCAACAGTACATGTCCAGCCATTCAGCCATCTTTCTTAGCATTACTGATGAAGGGAAAAAAAGGAAAAAAAAATATAGTTTGCTATTCATGAAGGTGTGTGGTCGTTTGACAGATGGTACATTTGCTTGCAAGAAAAACAAAAAAAGATGTTACTAATTCCAGCAGAAATAAAGGGATGGTTCCCACTATTACAGCCTCACCAGCGACCATGAGGTGGGTGGCGCATTACTTTTGGTAACATTTAGTTGTTTGGTGATGAGGAGACACTCATTTCCTTTATTATTATCTTGTTCCAGGGATGTTTCTTCATGGAGTTTGCAGTTCAAGAGTGTATAGGTAGAGGGTGAGATTGGTGTCGGTGTGTTTGCTTGATGCTGCATCTTCCTGTGAAGAAGACTGAAGATGAACTTATTCCTTGGCTTCCAAGTATATTATATCTGTATATGCGTCACATTGTAATAGTTTGCCCTGTATACGTCGTGTCGTATGACTTGGTAACTTGTTTCATAGAAATAAATAAATCAATGACTTCTAACTATTACTATCACTATCTTAAATTTTGTTGCTACATAAGCATCCTTTTTCATCTGTTGCGTTTAGTTGGAGTTTACTGTGAATCTGTGATCATATCCTGTTATGGTACAATCTGCTCCTTGGCTGTCGTCGCAGGCAGCTTTTGGTAAAACCTGAGCAGTTCGTTATGAAATTTTGGGTATTTGGGGAATCCCTTGTTAAGATTGCCTGATATTAGATCGATTCATCCAAAGCTTGCTCTGCTTGTTCTGCTCCCAATAATGCAAGCGGGTTTGGGAAGCATGTCGACTCCGCCTACCTCGCTTGCTTGTCCCACAGGCAAGGCAAAGCAGGGATTCGTTAGAGCTGAGAGGCGGCCAGCAGTAGGTTGATTCTGTCTTTCGAGAGTAGCAATCCACATTCTCATCCGGCAGGAATCCATGTCCCGGAAGCAAGCAGCACCTGTCGCGTTGCTATGCTTTTCTTGCCTTGCGCGCGAGGGAACGTGTTGGCCAACTTGACCATAGCACCGGCCAGAAGGATCAAGCAAGGGAGCCCATGCTTCTAGGGAAGCAGAGTTCACCACTTTGAGAAGACTGAAATCTGGTGCTACCTTGAGTGATCCCTCTAACCCCTTGTTTCATACGTGAAGCCTGTTTGTTTCTCGTAGACCACTTTGGCCAGAAATGATCCTTTTGGTGTCTGTTATTTACTTTTTTTCTTCTGATATGGATCACTCGGATTCCATTTAAGACACGGAAGATTGCCGGTTACCGCACGGGTTACATCATCAGGGTAGCTATCAAACCATTCACGAGAGAAAAAGATGCGTGATGGCTACATTCCATATGTAAGAAGCAAATTGTGTGTGCACATTTCTTTGGATGACCCCCCACCTGATTCACCGCTACCTGTTTTCTAGTTTCACTAGTTCAAGTAAATCTGAAGAACATGTGGAATGATCCTAGGGCACATCACCTAGGATCTCACATAGTTTTATAACCATACAAAAACAAGTGACAGCGAATGCAATGGTTTGGAAGTAATTCATGATTTCATTTAACGAATAAACAGAATACAGTGCACAACCACCGCCAGAACTACAATCATGGGAAGAATTCTACATGGCCACCAACATCCCTACATAACAACTTGGCTTCAGAAGCTAGTTTCCTGCTCTTAACTATCACTAGATTTGTCAGCCGGTGCTTGGGCTGCGGCTCGAAAGATCTCGCCTCGGCCTCCTTCCCCAGCAGCACAAGCTCCCGAGAGGGCATCACGTTGCCCCACCAGAACTCACGCAGGACGTCGTGGATGAGCTCCCAGTATGCGCGGTCCCGAGGCACTCGGAACAGGCTGCTCCCGTTGGGTGTCCAGCAGTAGAGGTCGACCCAGTCTCTGCCCATGATCTCCATCAGCCCCTGCACCTGCGGCATGTAGTAGTATGGCACGATACGCCATGGAAGAGCAAGCTCGGGCTTACCCTTGTTGTACGGGCACTTGACTTCCAGGATCCCACCATCAGGGTCACACCCAAGAACGCCGTCAGGTGAAGCTCCGAGCCACCCCAATTTAGCCTCGGTGTGCACTGCAAAGCCAAGGGAACCCACTGACCGTCCTGTGATGCTCGTGTACTGCTCTACGGCCATGCTTTCATGATTGGTTCCCCAGGCCATGGCAGCCATGGCTGCATCCGCCAACTTGATATCTGTTGGTCCAAAGACCTTCTCACTCCAAAGCTCTGACCGTCTGTTGCCGGCCCAGAAACCCAAGGCAGTGCTGAAGGTGCTTGTGGTGAGCTTATCCTTGCGCAGAGCAAACCACTCCTCTGACCGCTGGGCTACATCAGCCGGCGGAAGCTGGGCCGACACCATGAGGGCTGAAGATGGCGAGAGAGATAGCGGTGATGACCGGGTAGTGTAGATCTGCAACGATGAACGCGAGCAGCTGCGAGGAATATAGCCTTCAAAGTTTCGTCTTGATGGCAAGGATGCAGATGGAGTTAACCGCACACGCAATGTTGAGCAAAATGCCGTTGGAATCGGCAGGAGCGACCTGAACAAATAAGAAACTGCTCAACGGTTAGACAACATTGTGATGCGGTTTGGATAAGTAGTAGGGAAGAGCTGAGAAAGCATACAGAGGAAGTGCTCCACAAGAATGGTGAACCTATGAATGTGCGTGTAACACATGACAGAGTTTGTGTTGTGCTTCTCTTATATGAAGAGATTGCCTCGCTTCTTGGATAAAGCATGAAAGAATTTTGCAAGCAACCACCAAGGGCTTATTCCTTGCCTGGCTCCAGGAAGCAGACATGCTTGGGACAAGTAAGCATTTCTGACAGGTGCAAAGCTTATGCTGCTACTAGAACGAAAACAAACTCTAGCTAACTGCAAATGACAGCCTGCAATCTTGTTCCATTTTTTATCTACCACTAGTTGGGAGATACTGTACGAGCCTTGTACTCAGATTCCAACATGTACAGACATTACAAAGTGAATCGATTACGATCAAATTTGGAACAACAATCAGTAAGCTACAATAATCCAAAAAACAACCTGAAACTAAACGGGACTACCGCGAGCATTTCCCAAATAATTTCCGCGTTTGGGAGTGAGAAGCATTCATGTCGTCGTTCACGACGCTCTGAAGCTCTCGAGGAGCGTGGGGGTTGCGATTGACACTGAAGGTGAAACCATAGAGCAGCGGGGCGAGCAGTGGCAGGGGTGGGTCGCTCACTCACCTGCGCGTTGCGGGAGCGCGAGCGAAGACGCCGGTAGAGCCGAGCGAAGCCTCGGCCGTGGCGGCCCGGCCCCGCGGCTCAGCGCGTGACGGCCGGCGGCGGCCGCCTGCGGAGAAGCTGCCATGGCTAGGTCTCCGCTTGGGGATGGACCTGGTTCCGTCTGGGTTCGGGACGGGACGAGCGAAAGGTCTCGGTCTGGGACTCTGGGTCGAACACAACCAGCCTTCCTTTCCTTCGGTGCAGGGGCAAAAGCGTCCATAAAAAAGTATACGAATCAGGTGGAATTTATCCAACAGTCCCACGAGCAGGGAGCAGCCGCCGCGGCAGCGAAGAGTGGGGACGGGGAAGCGATCGGAGGCAATGGCGAACGGCGGCGACGGCGACAGCGACGTCCCGGAGAACGCCAACGAGCGTAAGGCCAGCCATTCGCTTGCGAGGGTTTTAGACTCGTTTCTGATGAATTTTCTGTGTTTCGCCGCCGCAGATTGCCCCGGGACGCAGTCGGAGGCGGCCGGGAAGGCGGAGTCCTGCGCCGGGGTGCCCCAACCAGCAGATCTGCGCCACCGCGCCCAAGGGCCCCGACCCAGGTAACACCACCCTGCCCCTCTGCACCTTACTTTTCCCCAGTCTGATCCTTGTGCGGTTGGCCACGCGATGTCAGTGTGGCTTGCTTGCTAGCATGTTGCCCCGATGCTTGCTGTTGGCCAGGTTTTTATTGTTGTTACAGCTGAGTACGAGCTTAGTAGAGAGCGTATGGTCTGCATTTGTGTGACTATTCTTTGCGATTGTGTGTGAATTTTGTTGAGCTCGTGTGCACAAGATGTTACACTTTGGTTGTCACATACTCACCATGTGAGCGAATTTGCATGCTTTCTCTGTGTACAAAGTTATTTTGGTATATCTGACCAGGAATTCCATGATGTTGAAGAAGTTAAGATAGTACATAAATAGCGGTCTGATATGCACTAGAAAATATGAGATACCTGAAAGATCTACAGTTAGTTCACTGACTCTCAGGTACTGTTTATATACCGGATGAGGGTGTTCTTGTTACATCTTGTACCGGTTAGTCAACCCAACTTAATTTGATCACATGAAGAAGTGCTATGTCAGGAAAAAGTACTTGAAGAACGTACTGCCGCATGCCTGCATTTTGATTCTCATACATGTACGCAAATGCAGTTAATTCTGCATGTGTGCCGGTTCTATTACTGGTGATGCCAGCTGTCATTTTTTGACCTAGCTATAAGAACTTTTAACCTAAGGTCCCACAAGCACACAGAAGCCACATTACTCTTGACTGTTTTATGTCACGTGACATATCATACCTGGCCTTTAGCATGATTATACATACATATAAAATGCAATTCATGTCTTATGCGATTGTTTCTGCATCCATAATATCTTGCTGTTCTTTCATCTCTAGTATATTTATTCTTGGCGAGACAATGCTAAGCTGGGTCATTTCATTTTCAGACCTGCTTGCCATCATTGAGCGAATGAATACTGTGAAACATAAGATACTGGTGTTGTCTGGCAAGGGTGGTGTAGGGAAGAGTACTTTTTCAGCCCAGCTCTCATTTGCCCTTGTTGAGATGGACTATCAGGTCGGCCTTCTTGACATAGACATATGCGGACCTAGCATCCCAAAAATGTTAGGCCTTGAAGGCCAGGATATTCATCAAAGCAATGTTGGCTGGTCACCAGTGTATGTTGAGTCCAACCTTGGTGTC